GTCGCTGTTCCCCTCAGCAAATTAACTCCAGCCTCCATTTGAGCGGGTTTTTTTCTCTCCCAAGATGACAATTCTCAGGTGATGCCTGGGGAATTCTGGGAGTTGTAGTCCAAAAAAAAAGCACGCAAGTGCTCCCATAAAACTTTCAAAAAGCGTGGAGGCGAAGCTTGGCAAATGCCAGACTCATGCCGTGCAACGTAAGATCCAAAGGGAGAAGAAGCCTTCCCTCTGCAGAAATGCTCTCCTTCCACCGGGATCTCTTGAGCGGAAGACTTGAGCCGAGAGCCACTTGCAGCCATTTCGTACCAAAGAAAATGGTGGCGCAGGAAACGTTTCTGGCCGGGGCGCGCGCCTCGCCTTGCACGGGTTTTCAATGCACCGCCTTTGAATGCACCGCATTTTCAGGCATGCACGAATCTGATGCATGCATGAGGCACAATGCGTGCATATTCCGATGCGTGCACGATGCATAATGCATGCATGTGTAAAAAAAAAAGGATTCCCGCCTCCTCCCCCCGCAGAAATCTCCTCATCTTCCCGCCACCCCCTTTTTAACCCCTTCCTGCCCTTTGCGCTCGAGACACCTCACGCCCCCGCCCCCGCCGGTGTAGCGGCCAAGCAGTCTCTAGACTCAGAAAGAAAGAAAAAAGAAGAGAGGGGCAACCGGGGAGGGGGCATCCTTCCGGGCCCAGTTTGCGCCTGAGCCGCGAGAACAATTCGGGAAGGGCCTGAGCGGCTCTCCCCGCCCTCCGTCCCTCCTTCCGTTCCTTGCATGCAAAGGCTTGCTCTTGGTGGGGGAAGGAGGAGGAGGAAGAGGAGGAGGAGGAAGAGGAGAGACGAAATCTGCAGCGCCCCCCCCCACCTCCCAAGCGGTTCCCCTCCGGGCCTCCCGCTGCCCCACCGGCTTCCTCGGCCCCCGCTTGGAGGGAAGGGTCGGGAAGGACGCGCTCCTCCCCACGGCGCCCTTCCTCCGGCTTCTTTCCCCCCCACACACACACACACACGGAGCCCAAGGGGCGCTTGCCTCTGCCCCATCGCCCTGCTTGGGAGCTGGTGAGTGAGGGGGGCTGGAGTGGGGAGAGAGAGGGGCCGGTGGGGAGGAGGAATCGGCTTGGGGACCCGCCCGGTGGGGGGGGGTGGAGAAGGAAGGCGAAGCGAAGAAAGAGCATTTTGCAATCCATGGATTTCCAGGCCTTGCCTTTTTTTTTTTTAAGATGTTGCTGAGTATTTCACCATAGGTAACATTGCAGGGTTAGCAGAGGAAGGTGAGATCTTTACGGGGCAGCTTTTAGCACTGTCAGCTCCTGGCGAGTCTCCATCGGAATTTGAACCCAAGTCTGTGAGACCTGGTCAGAGGCCAGCCACTGGGCCATAGTTAAAATAATAACTGTGCCGCCAAGCCAATTCTGACTGTTTGCAGAGTTTTAGGTGAAGAGTACTGTACTCAGAAGTGGTTTACTATTCCCTTCCTCTGGGGGGCGCCCTGGGACTGCGCAGCTTGCCCAAGGCCGCACAGGCTGGCGTAAAGGCACCGGTGGGGATTTGAACTCCCAGCCTCTCCGTCTGCAGCCAAGTGGGGATTTGAACTACCAGCCTCTCCGTCTGCAGCCAGAGACTTCACCCACTGAGCTATCCAGCAATTAGCACAACTTTGGCATCCTTTAAAAAAAGTTGTCCCCAACCACAGATGGCCCAAAACGGGCTGCGGGCTGCGCATGGCTTTTAGCTGTATGTCTGAATGCGCGCGCGCGCACACACACACACACACACACATATATCTGCACATATATACACTTATAAGAGTGACTAACAAACATAAGTACTGTACTTGAATGCTTCTGCTTGTTAGTCACTTTTATAGGTATAAACTGCATTCCTCAGAAAAACCTTGATTAAAGTGTTGTTTAGTTTATGGATTGATTTGATTTGATTTATACCCCGCCCATCTGTTCTAAAAGACCACTCTAGTTCTCCTTACCTCTGTGTATACCCAAAAACACACATGTGCATATGAACAGATAATAAGAACTGAACAGTTATTTTTCTTTAATCACTGCCGATTTGGAGTTGTTTTGTTATTGACATCATTAGGAGAAAGATTTCTATAACATGTCATATATTTTTTTCCTGCAACCTATGTTTTGAGTTTATGGGTGGGTTTGAACATGTGTATGAGTAATCTGGTGAGCAAAGCCAGATTACTCCTAAACATGTTTGAATTTGCTTATGGATTCAAAGGTAGGTTGCAGAGAAAATGTGAAATGTCATAGAATTACTCTCCCTAATTATCATATTTCAGTTGTTGGGTAGCAACTATCATTTGGATTCAGCTTCAGTTTGTTTACTTATGACATGCCTACTTTACTATATTTGCACATATATTTACACAAACATATATTTACTATATTTATTTTTTTATCATTTGTCTTGTTTTCCTGCATCGATTGTCCCCAGCATCACAGTGATAAATTGAAGTGCAGGGAATATTTGTGACTGCCAACAATTTACTTCTTGTATTTTTGTTTTCATTCCAACAGTTGTTGAATGGGGGGAAAGGTGTCAGCAGAAGGAGTCAGACATAGAAACAGAGAAGAAAAGAGGTGGGAAAGAGAAGTAAATTAAAAGAGGAAGAATCAGCCGTTTGCTTCTCAAGGCAGTGGATCACCGTGAAATCAGAATTTTCGAAAATTAGAAAACAAGAGAGAAGGACAATGAATCAAAACCCTGTAGGTAAGAAACATTTCAGTTCTTATGCAAGTTTTCAAACACACTGCAAAACCTACAAAGACAAAAAACCACATCAGTGCTTAGAGTATGGAAGGAGTTTCCATGAGAGCTCACATCTGACTTCTCATCCAAGAAAACATGCCGAAGAGAAACCGTACAAATGCTTAGAATGTGGCAAGACCTTCAGCTTGAAAACCAGCCTCAGTCGGCATCAGAGAACTCACACGGGGGAAAAACCATACAGCTGCTTGGAGTGCGGAAAAAGCTTTCCCGTGAGCACCAGTCTGACCTCTCATCAAATCACTCACACAAGGGAGAAGCCGTATAAATGCTTGGAATGCGGGAAAAGCTTCAGTTTTAACAAAAGCCTCAACAGACATAAAAGATCTCACACGGGGGAGAAACCCCATCGATGTTCAGAGTGTGGAAAGAGCTTCCAGGTGAGGACAAATCTTACTCTCCATCGTAGGAGTCACACAGGAGAGAAACCGTATAAATGCTCTGATTGTGGCAAGAGCTTCAGCTTCAACAAAAGCCTCAGTCGGCATCAGAGAACTCACACAGGGGAGAAGCCGTACAAGTGCTGGCAGTGTGAAAAAAGCTTCCATTTGAGCACCAGCCTCACATCTCATCAAAGGATCCATACTGAGGAGAAACCGTATAAATGTGTGGAATGCGAGAAGAGTTTTCAGTGGGGCACCAGTTTGGCTTTTCATCAGAGAACTCACTCAGGAGAGAAACCGTATCAATGCTTGGATTGTGGAAAGAGCTTCAGCTTAAAAGCAAACCTCAAAAGGCATCAGAGAATTCACACAGGGGAGAAACCGTACCAGTGCTTGGAGTGCGGAAAGAGCTTCAGTTTGAACACAAACCTCGCAAGGCATCAAAGAACCCACACGGGAGAAAAACCATATCAATGCTTGGAATGCGGAAAGAGCTTCGGGAGGAAAACCAACCTGAGCAGGCACCAAACGACACATACGCTGGAGAAGCCCTACAAATGTTTGGAGTGTGGAAAAAACTTCAGTAGAAACTCAAACCTCCATAGACATCAAAGGAACTCACACAAGAAAGAAAATGTATAAATGTTCAGAGTGTAGGAAGAACTTTATTTCAAGGTCACACTTCATTTCTTTTTTCTTTTTTTTAAATCAAAGAATTCACATAATGGAAAAAACTGTTATGAACATTGGTGTGTGGAGCAACTGTGAGGAAGTTCATCTCACAGGAAATGCAAAAAGACAGAGGAAGAACAGTAGAAATGTTTGGTGCGAAGAAAGACCTCCCATGCAAACCTCACAGCTTAAACTTATCACACAGAGAGTTAACCACATAGAGTTCTGACGTGTGGGAGAAACTTCAGTGTTGACACAGGTCTTACTTCTCATAAGATAAAAATGCTTATGTTGGCAACTCTGGACCTAAAATAGGGGGGAAACAGCACCAGAAATTATCAGGACCTCTTATCCTGCTACACTCCACAAAAGACAACTTTGTAAACCATTCACAAACTATTTGGAATTGTAAGGTAAAGGGTACTCTGAAGAAATTAAAGAACAGGCAGAACTAAATGAGTACATTTAGTCAACTTGAACTGCTGGCACAGACGGATTAAGGGGGATTCATTTATGCATAAGAAGGTGTTTATTTCATGTTGACTGCTGAATCTTGCCACAAAATTATGTAGGTATCCTATGAACAAAATCTTGCTGTCCGTAACAAACAGATCCTGAATGATTCATTTAACAAGAGTCTACTCTGAATCGGGAAGTTTAATTGGGGAAGTGTATGTGAATCCTTGTCTGCAAGGAATGGCGCTCTCACACCATGTAGCCATCTGAATTATAGGGACAGTAAACCAAGTTACCCTCTACCAGGAGAGAATCTCAATGTTATGATTGTTATTGTTGCACTTATTTGTTAAGTTAATTAGAATTACAGGTGTTGTAAGCATGTGATATGATGATATAATTTCCAGAACAGACTTGGATAATGGACAAATTAGATGTGATGTCCCTTAATATAAAAAGGACTGCGTCTCCTGCAAAAAACAAAACAAAAAAAAACTCTAAAACAATAATGGATGCTTTCAGTTTTTCTGGGATTTCAGTGGACAACAACAAGAATAAAGATGGGGGTGGTTTTTATTTTAATTAAATAGTTTTTTTTAAGATATCAAATAAAATATTAGATTTCTCTATTGATTCTCATTTTCAAAAACAAAACTAAATGTCATCATGTGTATGGCGAGCTAATTCTAAGCTTTAAAGTTTCCTAAAAATTAATTAAAAGATTCAGAATCTCCTTTCTTGTACTTTGAACCCCTTGGTTTAATGCTTAGGTTCTGGATCAGCAGAAAGCAAGTTTTCTGCGTGACAGCCCTTCAGATATTGAAAGATGGCTGCCACGTCCCCATCTCCAATGTCTTTTCTTCAGCCCATATTTATCCAACTTCCTCCATCGTTCTTCAACTAACCAATAATTGCAGAGTGAGCCGGCACCTAAAAGACCCCACGGATATCAGGTTTTTCTAAAACCTCCTGAAGTCCTCCAGATTTCATAAAATAATTGTTCCGATTCAGTAAAATGGACCTGTTCACACATATGAAGGAGGACGTGAAAGGACAGGGATAGGCTTGGTCTACAACTTGGGAGGCCTGGGTTCAAATCCCCTCTCAGCTATAGAAACTAACTGCTGGATAGATGAGCAGACCTTCCCCAAATTCTGCTCTTTCTATCCCACTTAGTTCCTGTCTTTACCTAACCGCATCCAAAGGGGACCACATTCAAAGGAGACATTAATTTCTGAGTCAATAAACAAAATTGTGGCTCCTTTGAGACTTACAGATTTGGATCCATGGGACATAATCCTACTTCTTCAGGCCTCGGGTCATATACACAGAGAATGGGTGGCTCTTAGGTAGTTAATTAACTTTGGAAGTGACAACGGTATTACGAATGGAACCTTTAGAGTGTTGAAGGTTCACCAGAACCTATACCATTGCACTATTGTCTATGCAATCAATATTGTGCAGTTTTTAATTTTCATTTGTGTATGTTTATTTCATTTTTATAGCCCATCTGGTTGAAGGCCACTCTGGGTGGTTTACATATGAAAAACAACAATCAACAACCATGAGACAAAAATTAACTACATAGTTAACTAGCTAACTACATAGTCAAGATCATCATAAAATAAAAATACATTTTTAAAAAATCCACTGCCTTTCTCCCTTCCTTAGAAAATGACACAAGTTCCCCCCCTTTTTCTCCCCAGGACCAAACATATCTTAGAATCGCTGTTGCTTTAAAACACCCCCCCCAAAAAAAAAACATGTAGAACTAAGTTTTCAAGATTCAAGGTATTTGGGTAGAAAAGTGTTCTGTAGACTGAGGAATATATGTTCTGAAAGCATCTCCCCACCCCTCCCGTTTTTGTTTTGGTTCCCGTGGATATCAGGTTTTTCTAACATCTCCTGAAGTCCTCCAGATTTCATAAAAAGAATTGTTCAGATTCAGTAAAATTGATCCTTTTGCTTTTTTTAAATGATGAAATACAAGGGGGGCAGGGGGAAGAGAAGCAGTTTAAAAGACCCTGAAATTCAAATGCCAAATCAGGAGGGGGAAATCATCTCCCTGGAGATATCTCTGGGCAACAAGTGATTTCAAGACTTTGGAAGTCAATGCTGTCAGTTCTCCCAAACCCTGGGAAATTCACAAAAAAACAAAACGGGTTCTTAGACGAGAGGAGGACCCGCCCGCCGGTGGGGGCGGGGGAGGGAGCTTTCTCGGTGGCGAGGCTCGGAGCCGACGTCATCAGCCCGCGCCATCTCTGGCTGTGAGGTTGCCAAGGCAACCCAGTGGCATGACGAGACGTCCACAGGGAGAAGACAGAGTAGGGGGGGCGGTGGCAGTTTTTAGACAGTGGCAATAAGGCTGTGGTCCTCCATGAAAAGCGAAGAGGAGGAAGAGTCGGGACTGGCCAAGGTGGCAGGCCCGGACGCAGCTACCCTCCCCCGCCCGGCCATTATGTACTTTGGGCACATCATGAGAACAAAAAAACACCACACACACACCACACACTCAGGAGCCCTGGGTTCGAATCCCTCCGCTCTCACTCACTGGAAGAGTGGCCCTGGCAAAGCCACTCCTTAAATATCTCACTCGCCTTGAAAGCCCCCCTGTTCCTCTTGTTGTTGGTAAAAACAACATAAAGATTTAAAAGTTTAAAAAGACCCCCAAAAAGGGGGGGGGGGGGGGCCCCGTTCCTCTTGTTGGTAAAAACAACATAAAGATTAAAAAGTTTTAAAAGACAAAAAAAAGAGGTGGCACTTTAAAGACGTTTTTTTTTTTAATGTGAGCTTTTGCAGAATGAGCGATCTCTGAAACGTCCTGTCCTCAACTGTCCTACTCGGCTGGTACAAACCTGATCTTGTGGTTTCTTTTGAGGGGTCTGTCCATCTCATGTTTGGTCTCTTTTCCTGCTGCCTTCCACCCTTCCCAGCATGATGGCCTTTTCCAGAGAATCCTGCCTTCTCATGATGTGTTCAAAGTAGAACAGCATCAGCTTCAACATTTTTGCCTCCAGATATAGTTTAGAGTAGATTTGATCTAGGATCCCCTTTCTTTATCTTTCTGGCAGTCCAGAGTATCCACATGTTCTACTCCAGCACCACATTTCAAACAAATCTGATTCCCTCCCCCCCGTCAGCTTTCTTAACTGTCCAGGTTTCACACGTATACATGGTGACTGGAAATATAAGAGTGTGGATGATCTTAGGGTCGATATAAGTCGGTTCCGACTTGACGACACATAACAATGACCATTATGTCTGTAGCGAAATCTATGAGGGGAGAAATCTGGAAGTCTCCAGCCAAAAAGAGGACAGAGCAAGGTTTCAGTGGCTTGTAACACATTGCCATTAGCAATTAATACAGACACACTGCATCAATCATTCGCTGGGTCTATGCGCCATTCACAACAGCTGCCTCCCACATTTTTAATGGGCGCCTAACAAATTCCAGGAAGGGCTTTGATGAAGAATTTGGATTTGCGACAACATAATCACGTCTATCCACGGATTAGACTGTTGAGGAAAAAAGTAACTTCTTCAGCCCCTCCTTCCCTACTGAGAGCTGTTGCCTAATTTTGTAGGGGTTCAGAAGATCAAGGATGAGGTGGGTGAGAGAGATGTAGATAGAATGGGGCTCATGAAGGATAGGGATATAACAAAGAACAATAGGATGGCCGTCCCTCCCCACCATCCTATAAGCATCTGGAAAGACCCCAGATGGATATGTTTTTCATTTATTGTTCTCTGCAGTGACAGAGTAGAACTGTGGAAGTCACCCACCTGCCCCCTAGAAAAGACATAGCCAGGAGTTGGGAGGGGGCATATAATTTGAGAGCTGTTACTTCCTTCCCCACCTCTGTATTCTTCTGCCTGTGATTTTTCTGTGAATAAAAATGTAGGTTCCCTTCCTCTCTTCTCCAAAACCTAGTCAAGTGTCTTGAGTTGCCACCTTTTGCTTAGTATGGCTGCTGTGGTGATTACGACAACGGATAACTGCATGCAGTCAGGTCAATTCTGACTTATGCCAAATCTGTGAATAAAAATGTAGGTTCCCTTCATCTCTTCTCCAAAACCCAGTCAGGTGTCTTGAGTTGCCGCCTTTTGCTTAGTATGGCTGCTGTGTGATTACAACGAATATCTGCATGCAGTCACATCAATTCTGACTTATGGCAACCCTTTTCAGGGTTTTCCAGGCAAAAAACACAGAGAAGTGGTTTCCCATCCCATTCTTCTGGGGGTACCCAGGGACTGTGCAGCTTGCCCAAGGTCACCCAGGCGGGCTTATCTCATGGGAGGCAATCAAGCTCCCAACCTCTGGCTCTGCAAGGCTTTTCTCATGGGAGGCAATTGAACTCCCAACCTCTGGCTCTGCAACCAGATACTAAACCACTGAGCTATCCAGCCAGCTGTGTAAATTTGATCAGGCTGAAATTCAACAGGGGCAGGGCAGCTTTTGCATCAGTGTATCCTCCTCCCAAAAAGCTGCACCATGTGATTTCCCCCCCCCCTTGTGATCACTGCTATTTCAACAGAAATCCTTGGACTGCAGCTTTTGGGGGGGGGTGTAATCCCCCCCAATCCTTGGACTGCAGCTTTTTTTTGGGGGGGTGTAATATACCTAATGGAGTACAGTACTGCATGGTGGAATTAAAACAGGCTCTAGAAAAAGTCTAGTGACATATGCAGCTAATTTGATAATTTATTCAGATCACAACTGTGAATAACATTCATGAAATTAAGGGCAACTACACACAAAACAACATCAGAGGAAAATAAAATATTTCATAAAAAATACAACATTGTTGTTAAATGAAAAGTGCAGTGTAGAACACTGCACTTTTAATTTAATATAAAGCATTATGTTAATGTTATAACATGCAAAAATAATAATTGATAATAATCTTTGGCCAAAGACAGTCAGACGGACAGACCTATAGCTATTTATTCCAAAGTAAAATGTTTCAGAAAACTCAGTGGAATGTGAAGGAAGATTAATCCAGGAAAAGTCAAGACAGGAAAATGTGGCGGGGGGGGTTGTAAAATAGGATTATGAAATCTGAGCCTCACAGGAAGGGGGGCTGGATTAAAAGGAGAAAGTAATAGCATTTTTAGAAAGCAAAGTTTTATCAAAGCAGTCCATGAACCGTATTCTAGCCCAAGAAAGGTTTGAATTCTGATGACAGGCATACAATCTCTCAAAAGTACATAACCCACTGTAAAACCTGGGTCTCCTCTCAAAGGAAAATTAAATCCGGACCCCAGAACAGGAAAAAAAAACTCTCAAAAAAGTAGCTGTGAAGGAGATCAACCAAGTGAGCCATCCTCCACGAAAAACAAACCAGAAGTGACAGACAGCTGCCTTATAGGAGAGTTGATTGAGGGAGAAATGGGGAGGAATAAGGCGGTAGAAGTGTTTCTAGCAGAAGGAAGACAGAAGCAGAAGTGAGCCGAGTTGGACTTAATGAGGTGGGATGAGATAAAAGAGGAGGAGAGGTAAGAGAAAGGGGGAGAAGGAGGAAAAGATGACAAGAGTACACAGATGGAGAAAGTGGAATTATCAAGGTACAAACCAATAGAGTTGGTGAGAGGATTTCCTAACTTAAGAACGGGAGGAGGACTGTTACTTGATCTCCCATGCTTGCTAGAAAGGGATAAGACAAGAGGGAAAGAAGTATGGAATATGGCAACGGTGCCACCGGTCCAGGATTTGGGGAAGAGAGAGACCATTAGTGGTACCAACAGTTACCTTCCCTATCTAGAAGGGGATTATGTGAAGCATCCCTGCTGCAAGACGGCATGTGCGGTCTTGAGTTATCCAGTGCGGAACCCAGTAGGGGCAAGTCCATTTGGGATGGAGAAGTAACAAAAGACACAAGAGCCACAGACTTTAATAAGGTTAAAAGTTATAAGTTGTTGCCGGAGTTGGATGACTTTGACCCATTCTCTGTTGGAATTCATGATGTTAAAAAGAATAAAGAACCGTTATTTGGACCGTTGGCATCGTCTCCGTCTGTTTTTCCCGCTGAAAAGGAGAGCCCGCCCACCAGTGACAAAGAACCCAATCACAGTAGCATTATATAAAAAGAGAAAAAAGTTAGTTGGAAAAGGGCACACCCATACCGAAGTGCAAGTTCTTTTGGTGAGTCAACTCCCCCATAAGCTCCACCAATTCAAATGAGCCTACTCTGTAGTAAGTCACAAGTGGAGTAGGCCCATCCAAATCAATGGAGCTTATGGAGGAGTTGACTCACCAAATCCCTACTGATTCAATGGATCTATCCATGTTGGACAATACCCGGTGTGGTGTGGTGGATAGAGTGATGGATCAGGACTTAGGCTGTATGGGTTCAAATCATGCAAGCTCTCTGGGGGTGTGTGGAACTGGTAAAACCTTAAATACCATACTAACCTTGAAACCCCTATTAGGATTGGTATATGTTCCAACTTGATGGCACAGAACTATAATAACTCTTGTTGGGAATCACTGTGCTAAGCAACAAAAATTTTTTAGTCTACATGTACATATTTCTCTTCAGTACCCCCAAAATAGCAATGAAATAACCTCAACTATTTCCACCTAACTATTGCATTCTCGCGTGCTTAGATCTCCTGTTCTCCGATTTTCCTTCTGTGCCTGTTGAGGTTTCTGTGGCACCCGAACGTCTTTCCACACTCCAAGCATTAGCACGGTTTCTCCTCAGTATGAATCCTTTGATGAGAAGTGAGAACTCTGTGGTCACAGACGCTCTTTCCACACTTAGCACATGTATATGGCTTTTCACTTGTGTGTGTTCTTTGATGGATGCTAAGTTTCAAATTGCACATGAAGCACTTTCCACACTCCAGGCACTGATAGGGTTTCTGCCCCGTGTGAGTCCTCCTGTGCCTGCTGAGGTTTCCGTGGCAGCTGAACTTCTTTCCGCACTCCAAGCATTCGTAGGGTTTCTCCCCGGTATGCATTCTTTGGTGAGAAGTGAGACCTCCACGGTCACAGAAGCTCCTTCCACACTTAAAGCACACATAAGGTTTTTCTTTTGTGTGAGTTCTTTGATGAATGCTAAGTTTTGAATTGCGTGCAAAGCACTTTCCACACTCCAGGCACTGGTAGGGTTTCTGCCCTGTGTGAGTCCTCTGATGTGTCTTGAGGCTTGTATTGAAACTGAAGGTCTTTCCACAGTCCAGGCATTTATATGGTTTCTCCCCTGTATGGGTCCGTTGATGATAAATCTGGCTTTCGTTTGTGGAGAAACGTTTCCCACACTCCAAGCATTTATACGGCTTCTCCCCTGTGTGAGTTCTTTGGTGTCTGGCGAGATTTCCCTTCATGCTGAAGCTCTTCCCACACTCCAGGCATTTATATGGCTTTTCTTCTGTGTGGGTTCTCTGATGCCTGTTCAGATTAGCTTTCTCTCTGAAGCTCTTTCCACACTTCAAGCATGTGTATGTTTTCTCTCCTGTGTGAGTTCGTTGGTGTCTAACAAGATTGGCCTGCACCGTGAAGCTCTTCCCACACTGCAAGCACAGGTAAGGTCTTTCCCCTGTGTGAACTATCTGATGTCTCCCGAGCTTCGTTTTTGAACTGAAGTTCTTTCCACAATTCAGACATTCGTACAGTCCTTCTTCCATGTGTGTTCTCTGATGTGAGTGGAGGCTTCGACTCTGACCAAAGCTTTTACCACACTTTAGGCATCTGTAGGGCTTCTCTCCCGTGTGGGTCCTCTGATGGCAAATGAGGCTTCCATTTGTACTGAAGCTCTCAGCACAAGCCAAGCACTGAAATGGCTTCTCTCCTGTGATACAAGAAAATAAGTTACAAGGGTACCGAAACACCACGGGCGACAGATAATTTAAACATAGTGCCTGAAAATCCTGTTGTTGTAAGTTACTCTGCATAAGGCACATGTTGTCATCTTCTCAACCGTGTGTAGCCTCTATACTGTATTTTTCTGTGTATAAGATGTGCCCATGTATAAGACCCCCTCCCACTTTTCTAACCCAGAATTAAGAAATCTAAGGGGGCTTAGCAAGTGGAAGGGGAAAGCAGAGATCAAAGCGCCGCAGCATCGCTTTGATCCCTGCTTTCCTCTTTCTAGCTAAGCCATGTATAAGATGACCCTCAAATTTTAGTCTAAAGCAGGGGTCTCAAACATGTGTCCCGGGGGCCATTTGCAGCCCGCCGGATGATAGTTTGTGGGCCCCGCCTTGCCTGCCCCCCCCGAAGTGTCCTCTGCTGTCAAGTTTTTTTAAAAAAGCCACGTCCTCTGCTGTCAAAAGTTTTTTTAAAAAAAGCCTCGCCTCCCTCACCGGCTCTCTCCCAAGACAGTGCCTCTTCCACCCTCCATCTGGAACTGCAGCCTGCCAGCCAGTCCACCTGTCTGCTGGCTGGCAGGTTGAAGTTTCTGGATGGAAAGTCAAGAGGCGCTGTCTTGGGAGAGAGCCGGCAAGCAAGGTGTGCTGCCGGCCCTTATCCCCAAGTGCCCAAGCTGCCACCGAGTGATGCCTGAGAGCGGAGCTCGCTTCCGGCCCGTCCTTGAAAAGGGCCCCCAAGCCACCAACAGCAGCTGCTGCCGCTGCCTCTTCCAGGGAAGCAGCTCTCTGGCTCTTTTTCTCTCTTGAGGCGGCCGCCTCAGCCCCCGGTGGTGCTTCCTCCTCCTCCTCTTCGTCCTGCTTCAGCCGCCTTGGCTCTGGAGGCTCCCTGAGCTCGCCTCACAAAGTTTGCTCCTCTGTCGTGGCGGGGGTAGCTGCTGCTGCTGAGTGCGCCTTTTTTTTGAGGGGGGCCCTCAGAGGAAGGTTGCTGGATCTCCCTCCCTCCCTCTTTCTCTCTTTCTCTCTCTCTCTGTGTCTGTGTGTGTGTGCGTGTGCGCACCTTTGGGGCCCCCTGCCCCGTTCTGTTTAAGCTGCCCAGAGATCTTTGGCAAGGCGAATTCTGTGAAGATTTTTAAAATTTTATGTCGTGTCCTCCTCCCCCCGCTAGACGGTCACCGGCGCTCCCTCCCTTCTCTGCTTCTTCATCCTTTTGCTGCTGCTGCTGCTGGTGGGGGGTAGTGAAGAAGGAGCCAGAGGGGGTTGTGGCCGGTGACAAGGGCTCGTGCGCCCCTCCTCCTCTTCCTCAGAGCCCCAGCCGGGCTAAGGAAATTCCTGGGCAGCTTCCTTGGGCTCTTGCTCCGCTTGGCGGAAAAATCTGAAGCGGCCCAGCCTCACCCAGACTCTGCCTCCAGCGGCCCCCAGGTAAATTGAGTTTGAGACCCCTGGTCTAAAGGTTTTAGACAAAAGTATCATCTTATACAGTACATGGAAAAATATGGTTATTAAATTGTAAACTGCCCAGAGAGTGCTTTAAGTGCTACAAGGTGGTATTTAATCAGCAAACTTTTGCTTTCCCCGTCATGGATTGATTGATTGATTGATTGATTGATTGATTGATTGATTGATTGATTGATTGATTGATTATTTATTTATTTATTTCATTGTGGTTTTAGTAGAAAGGAACAAAACTTACCAGTACTTTTAATCCCTAAAAACAGGAAAAGAACTCAAAAGAGTTGTAGAAATATAAGAGATACATACAGTACACTTAAATATATAAATGTACATTTATGAAAGAAAACAACAAAGGGAAAAGATACCATTACTCACCAGGGAAAGAGGAAGATTTACCAAGAGCGGCTAGAATCCCACAGATCTCCTCCATGACTTCCCTGTGCAGAGCTTTCTGGTCCAGATCCAGCAGCGCCCACTCCTCCTGGCTAAAATGCACAGCCACCTCCTCAAAGGTCGCCAGTCCCTGAAAGAAAGAAAACAGTTCCTCCATAGAGAGATTGGATATAGGTGAATTCCAGTCCTGTGAGTCAATCTTATTATTCTGAGGATCTTGGTCTCCCTGTATGACATTCACTGCTCTTTTTTTTAGTATAGAGCCTAGATGGAAGGGATGTGGTGGCGCTGCGGGTCAAGCCGCAGAAGCCTCTGTGCTGCAAGGTCAGAAGACCGGCCATCGTAAGATCGAATCCATGCGATGGAGTGAGCTCCCATTGCTTGTCCCAGCTCCTGCCAACCTAGCAGTTCGAAAGCATGTAAAAATGCGAGTAGATAAATAGGTACCACCTCGGTGGGAAGGTAATGGTATTCCATGTCTAGTCGCGCTGGCCATGTGACCACGGAAACTGTCTTCGGACAAAAGCTGGCTCTATGGTTTGAAAACGGGGATGAGCAATGCGCCCTAGAGTCGGACACGACTTGACTCAATGTCAAGGGAAACCTTTACCTTACCTGGACAGAAGCAAGAGAGAGAGAGAGCTGTTCAGACCAAGAAAGGCGAGGAAGGGGACAAGGTACCCTGTTGCCCCCTGTCCATCTCCTTAGTGAATATTCCCCCACCTGAATTGGCATCATGGCAGCTGTTTCCTCTGTAGCACGAAGAACGGGCGTCTGCAGGTGTGTTGCCCGCGTCATATCATCACCTGCAAGAGGCAGAAAGCAAGTGTGACCCAAAGGCAAGGGTCCGATCTTCATTCTGGCCTCCAAGGAAGCCCCGCCTGACTCAAGTCAGTGGGCACCCGCAGGTTTTGTGACTCTAGCATGTATTTTGGGTGACCGCCTGCATACATGAGGCTCCACAACTCTGACAGATCGATTTCTACCACAGAGACACTGTGAAGCAAGGACATTGTGATTATAAAGCAAAAAAAGAAGCAATCAGCCTATCTTAGGATGTTGGAAAAATCTGAACGGCAAAAAAAGAAAGGAGACATGGGGCGGGGGGGGCGGGGAGAGAGAAATGGCAAAATATTGAAGACCTTTAAAGACTAACACGAAAAGTCCATTTCGATCTACAAAAGCTCCCGCTGAAATAAATCTGTTAGTCATAATGCCACAATGTTTTGCCTTATTTTTTTTTCCCTTGGTTGTACTGAAATTATTTTTAAGGTTCACTCTAGGGCCATCAATGTCATCTGAAATCTATGATCATGATTTGATGGAGGTGCAGCTAGGCAGATCTTGCGTCAAACTCATATGGATCCACGAGGATCCTTAGAGGGGATCCATGTTTTCTTGTCACACGGATGGCACGACGGGTTGCCATGTGATGGGCATGGTTCTGTGCATGGGTACAAACGCAGTCTCTCATTTCACAACAGTTTGAACTAGATCCAGCAGTGTTTTTTAAAAAAGGATCCATGCCTTAAGGAATCTGTATCCGAGATCCACATTTTTGTGCTGTAGCTGAGCCCCAAAGCACCAGATTTTGATCCTTACAACTCAGGGCTGATTTGTCGGTGATCTAGGTGAGATCCTTCCTAAAAGCCCTACAGAATCCAGAAACGCCACGTTTCCTTTCTTTAACTGCTAGATAACTCAGTGGCTTAGGTCTCTGGCTGTGGAGCCAGAGGTTGGGGAGTTCGATTCCCCGCTCTGCCTCCTTGACAGGGGGGCTGGACTGGATGATCCCTGGGGTCCCTTCCAGCAATGCAGTTCAAAGGTGGTGGTGATGATGAATTGGACCTTTGCTTTCCTAGTTATGCTGCCATACACCAATAGGAAGGCCTTGCATGATATTTTTT